ATGGTACTAAATCCCAAGTGTGGTTTGCAATAAGTGCATTAAATTCCTCAGCCATAGCCTTACGCCATATCAATTGTTTATTTGCCTCAGAAAACAAGTGGGGTCTGCTGAAATAACAACCGTGTTTTAAATTAAAAATGGATTTGGGTTTAAAAATTCCAGATTTTGCCCGAGTTTGCATTGGATGGATATTAACAGGGGAGGAAGGCAACGGTGCGGTAATATTGTCAGTGCCGGTCACGGTTGCGGTGGGTGGTGTAGGGGGTGGGCTGGTTTCTGAGAGCTGGATGGTCGCAGGCGGTGGGCTGGTAGCCGCCGAGGAGTGGTCTGGCGGAGTGTGGTGCAGTGAGGGAGTCAGGTTTGGGGTAGAGGATAGAAACGGGCTGGTGGGGAAAACGGGGCTAGGTAGATAAGTAGGAGAACTGGGGGTGGGTGTGTTGGTTGGTTGGTTGGACGGTGATGTCTGCGGGATGGGGATAGGCGACTGGTTGGAAGGCAAGGGTACAAGAGAGTGAGAGTTGGGGTTAGGAGATGAGTTGGTCCAAGAAGAAAAATGCAAAGAAGGCGTGTTAGAGGGAATATGGGAGGAGGAGATAGCATCCATAGAATAAGTCAAAGTGATATAAGGAAAAATATTTTCACAAAAACGCACATGACGACTAATGTAAACTTTGCCAGTCTTAGGGTCAAGACAACGATAACCTTTATAACCAGATGCATATCCCAGAAAGACACATTGAATAGATCGGGGAGAAAGTTTATTGGAGGAAGTGGCATCAATATTAGGAAAACAAGCACATCCAAAAACTCGTAAGAGGGAAAAATCAGGAGACTTTTGAAAAAGTTTTTCATAAGGAGAAAGACCAGAAAGTGTGGGAGTAGGTAATCTGTTAATAATATATACAGTCGTAAACAACGCATCAACCCAAAAGGAACTAGGAAGAGATGCTTCAATAAGCATGGTCCGAGTATGTTCAAGTAGATGGCGGTATTTACGCTCAGCAAGCCCATTTTGTTGAGGAGTATGAGGGCATGATTTTTGAAAATAAATTCCATGAGAATTAAAAAATTGTTGCATATTAGAATTAACAAATTCACCCCCTCCATCACTTTGAAAAATTTTAATTCGCGCGTTGAAAAGATTTTCAACTAAAGATTTAAAAATTTTAAGAGTCAAAGACCTCGGTTTTAGCACGTAAGGGATAGATCCATGTAAAACGAGAAAAATCATCAATGAAGCACACATAGTATTTAAATCCTAAATTAGAAAGAACAGGAGACTGCCACACATCAGAATGAATTAATTGCAAGGGAGAAGTAGAAGTGTGAATAGCATCGGAAAATGGTAATCGTTGGGACTTGCCTAACCGGCAAGGAATACAATCATGAGAAAAACTAGAGCTATTACATATGCGTTTTTGACCACTTAAAATATGTAAAATATTTTCACCACAATGACCTAATCTACGATGCCACACAAGGCCAGTGGTGAGAACTGAAGATAAGGCTAAACTAGATGGTGGACTCAGGCTGAGAGGATAGAGATGACCATTAGTTGTTGCCCGAAGAAGAACCGCCCCCGAAATTTTGTCCTTAACAAAAAAGGAATTTTTGTCAAAAATAGCAACACAGTTGTTATCAGCACACAATTTTTGAATTGAAATTAAATTGAATTTAATATTAGGCACGTGATAAACAGATTTCAATATCAGCGGGCGGCCAGAGGAATTTAGGGAAATATCACCAACATGTTTAATAGGGAGTTGAGCACCATTAGCAACGCTAACAATAATTGGACCAGAATAAGTAGATTTATTTGTCAAAATACCTTCAGAGGAAGTCATATGAGCAGAGGCACCAGTGTCTGGATACCACAGAGCATCATTAGCTTGGCCGGTGAGAAGAACAGGTGCAGAGGGTGGAGAAAATCGGGACGGACAGCTGATTGCAGAATGACCTGCAGAGAAACAAATTTGACACACAACGGGAGGGGGAATTTCCCCAAGAATTCCCTCAGCAGATGAAGAGCCTGCAGACTTAACATTAGTATCACAAAATGATATAGCAGCAGTATTTAAAGTGGACAAAACAGAATTACTTATAGCACCTGCATTTAGCGGTCGGAATTGTTGCTGCTGCCCTTGGCCGAAGGCCTGCTGCCCCGGACCAAATCCCTGCTGCCCTTGGCCGAAGGCCTGCTGTCCCGGACCAAAGCCCTGCTGCCCCGGTCCATTGTAAGGTTGCTGCTGACCGTAGTTGTTGGCCCCGCGTCCTTGACCGAAGCCACGCGTACTTAAATAATCTTTTTGCAAGATGGGGGTGTACCTCTCTTCCACCTCATGCAAAAACATTCCCTTAAATATTCAAGCAACTCGTCTTAGGTTCATCCCTGCAGATGTAGAATGAAACCTTATTACATCAACTATTCACCATAAATCAAAGTTATAGCTTTTTTCTTGCAACATGCAAGATGGTTCTTGGAATCATAGTATCATTACAATTCTCACAAGAAATCTTGAAGTGTCTTAGAGCTTTCACCTTCTTTGAATAGAAGAGAAATGACACCTTTATCACCACATCTTTTCTACTTTCTTATCTTCAACCTTCTTGTACACATTTTCATGATTTTAACTTGAACAACTCAAAACATTGCCATCTTATAAACAATTCAAAACTTCGCCATCTCATAAGTAAAGACATCGCTACGGCTAAAAGAAAGACAAGACCTCATCGGCCTCTGAGATTTATAATACCACTCAACGGCCTGGCAAGAGGAACGAAGCAGACATAAACAGGACCCTCTTCGGCTGAAAAATAACGTTAGACTACTCCCTTTTCGCTTCATCTACATCTCAGCTCAGAGAGTGGAGGACTCTAGACAGAGTATATAGGCCCAGACCCCATGGTCCACATACTCAGAAGGTCAAACATCACCAGAGGGACATCCACGTGGCAACCTTTGGCCAGGTGGGTCCCGCAACGGCTAGAGTCAGACTGCACAGGATACCTTCCGGAGACAAAATGGGTCCCTCATCAATCGGCGACCGCATCGGCCAGGGGACCGCATCGGCCAAAGACGTCGCATCGGCCAGGAATTACCTCTAGCAGAATGTACTTTCATGCTTAATTATCTAAGTGTTTTACTCAGCCCATTAGTGGTCTTATTTCACCCAAAGAAGACATAATTATTGTAATGGGCTTCCTAAACCCATCGCTAGGAGCCCAAATCTACATTTACTCCTATAAATACCTCCCTTGACGTAGTTATACAAGGTTGATAAATATTAATTACTCACTTTCTCTCTCTAGCTCTCACTTTTAAATACTCGCTAACATCAGTTTTATTAGGTTTACGAGAGTGGTGTGCTTAATTTATTGTTAAGAGCTTTTAAGAGCTTTCTGCTCCATAAAAACCATGAGCAAAATCTATCAGCTCGACTTCTTTCAAAGTGTCGTGATATACTTGACACTTGTGCCTTTCTCTTTGTTGAATTTTGGGTATGTGCAAACTCTTTCAACTGATGATGGGTTGTGTTTTCCTCCTGATTTAGGTGATTATTTATAGAAGGCAATCCACTATAGATCTTTGGAAACCACACACTTACTTTTCATTAAATCCCAATAACATAAGCTAAAATATGAAGAAACCTAAGGATGAATGAATGAAATAGTAATTAAAGCAAGAATTATTAGGGCATCCATTATTTGGGATCATTTTGATGATGCGGAAGCTATTTTTAGAGATTTTTGTTGAAGAGATGAGATTATTTTGATAAAAAACGTCATATCAAATATTGGATCCTATATTATTTAAGATTATTCACAAGGTTCAATAAACACATTTATGATTTAATGCAATCATCTATTTTAATTTGGAATGGCTAAAATACTTCATTGCAAATAACAAAAAAATTCATAAAAACTAAATAAATAGAGATAATGGTTGAAGGAGGATTGATAAACTTGATTTTATTTGTGTGGCAATTCAATGACATGAATGAAGATGATCTTAATCCCGTTCTTAGAGCCCGTTTGGTAGCATGAAAATCGGCTGTTTTGGCTGATTCTGTTGAAATTTATGAAATTCTGGCTGAAGTGGCTGTTTTGGCTGATTCTGCTGATTCAAGAAAAAAATATTTTAAAAATATATTTTATTAATAAATTATAGAAAAAATTACTTGTAAAAATAGCTAAAATAGTCCTCTACATTAACTTCAGCCAATACAGTCAGAAAAGTAACTCCAATCTTACTTTTTCTGCTTATTACACAATTCAGCACACACAAGTAAAAGTTACGTGTTTGGTGAAAAAGCTGACTGATAAGCCTGATAAGCCGAAAAAAGAGGTCTCCAAACGGGCTCTTACTATTCTTGGAAGGTGGAAAAAGTTGATCCTTCAACTCTAATGGAACCTCAACACATACATATAGCGGCTCCCTCATGGTTATATACTCGCACCCTATACATCACATAAAAATTAGCATATTAGTACGGTTCATTACGAGATAATAACACCATTAAAGAAAACAAATGTCCCATTCTTTGACTTTTGAGATGATTATTCCCACGATTTATGATTGTTATTTTTATGTATACCCAAATATATAATAAATGCCATCACAACTTCACGAGAATATGTCAATATCACCTACCACCACTCCTCTTGTTTAACATCAACAACTCTCACCGAGATTTTTTCCCTAAATTTTAATAACCCTGAGATGAGAACTTTAATTTTAATTTTATAATAAATCAAACCGAATAATTGGTTCCCGATTGAATTTCCGGCCCGGTCCGGCCTGGTTCTCAAACGGAATCCAGCCCTTACAACTATGCTACAATGCTGGATGTAATGCCAGCTATGAAATAGAAGGAAAGATTGAGACTTTTACTAGCTAAGGTCAAAGCAGCTGGCACCTTTACTAAATCATATACGGAGTATTTGTTTATATATACTCCGTATAATACACTGTGTGTATATATGTAAAGTTTCCATTATTAGCTCACACCCTCTTCCCCACTCCGCCTCTGTTTCTCCCCTCCCGGCCGGCCGCTCCTCCACAATTCATACCCCTTCCGATCTTCCTCCTCCCTCAACCGCCACCGGAAAACTGTTCATGAAAGACAAGGGTAATGTGGTAAATCCCTCACCCAGAATCTGTGACTGCAGAGGATAAAGTGGAGTAACATTGATGATTGATGAGACCTTTCGCTGAAAAAATGGCCGGCGGTTCTTTTTCCGGCGAAAAGAAGCCGCATTGGTGGCTTACCAACCGAAAGGTAAATAAGAAGTTGTATTTATTTTTTATGTATTAGAGTCAGGGTATGAATATTGCGGTGGCGGACAGCGCAACCGCATCGGCCCGGTATAGCGGTGTGTTTTCAAATATTGACCAAAACCCGCAATGTAATCGCAATGAAACCGCAACGTAACAGCGACGGTGCCGCGTCGTCCTGCACCCCGCCTCAATCGCCACCGTCCTTATGACTCTGCGAATTGAAAACATTTTACGTCGCAGCGGCGGTAATACACATCGTGGCGGCCGAATTAGTCGCAACCGCAATGACCGCTACTGCGGGGCAATCGCAATTTAAAACTTTGATTAGAGTTTTATTATTATTCATTGATGGGAGATTCATGAAATATTAAAATATGTGCAGATTGCTGAGAAATATTTGAAGGATGCGAAGCTTCTTCTTGAAACTAATGAACCAAAAGCCATGGCTTCTGCTCTGAGTCTTCTGGATGCGGCCCTTTCTCTGTCTCCCCGGATGGAGGTCGCCGTTGAGTTAAAGGCCCGGACTTTGCTGGTTCTCCGGCGGTATAAGGACGTCGCCGAAATGCTACAGAGTTATATTCCCAGCCTTAATAGAGAATCTTTCGATGAATCGGCGTCGACATGTTCGTCTTCTTCAGAGTCGTCGGATGGGTCTTTCAGGAAGGAGCAAGTCAAGCTTCTCTTCTCCGGGATTGGCTCGCCGGGCCGGGCCGGCGATTCCATTTTCAAGTGCATCTCTGTCTCCGGCTTGAAAAAGAAGCTCATGGCTGGCCTCTGTAAAAGCTGCCAAAAGGATGGACCGTGGAGGTATTTTCCACGTGATTTTTTCCTATTCCATTGGTTATTATCGATTTTTTCAATTTCTCTTTATTTTTTGGCTTATTATGTTTTTAGCATCTCTAATAGTACTTCTTTTGGTTTTGTCCTTGTAGTTTTTATTTTCAAATATACCCTTTCAAAGCATTTGATTTTTTCCACCATGTGATGACCACAACATTGATATGGATAAAAGATTATGACAAAGAAGTAAAAACATTACTACGTATTATAGAGCAATAATTAATGTGGGATCATTTAAGCATGATAATGCTAGGGAATTGGACTTTCGCCAATTTTTCATTAAATAGATGTCATTTAACCATTATTTCAAAAAAAAGATGTCATTTAACCATAGGTCATTGCTTAGAAAATTCTTTAAAGAATAGGATGTAAGAACCAATTTTGTGCAAACAATGAGATGCCAAGTTAATTTCGCCTATTACTTACCACCAAATCACTTAATTATGAATATGGGTTTTTAGCTTTTCTTGGTATTCTTTAATCTTTTTTTATTAATATCATTAATCTAAACCAAAGTAGGTTGTTTTTCTTTGATCATAATAAATTAGGGAATTTCCTTGTTGATTCAACTACTTTAATGGTTAACTTGTAGATGGACGTAGCTTTAATTGCCTTGTTAAACAATATACTTTCAAGTTGAATTATTGAACAAGCCAACCCAAGTCTAGGTGGTCCTTTGACGTGTCATCATACACTTATCTTAACACTTAACATGATCATACATTCATACCCAAGGTAGGGACCAAATGAGGGAAAATAAGAATATTTTAACATGACAAATTTGTCAAAATAAAATATTTATAATGATTGGAATCATAACAACGGCATATTATATGGGTTAAAAACACAATTAACCTTTTCCTTTCGTCTTAATTTTTTGTCAAGGTACTTAATATTGGGACAAGCATGTTACCATTTGGGGTTAATGGAAGACGCTATGGCCCTTTTACAGACCGGAAAACGCATCGCCTCCGACGCTCTACGGCGTCAGAGCATTTGCTGGTCCGACGACAGTTTCTCATTCTCCAAATTCCCGATCTCCGGCGAGATTCCGAACTCCCCTTCGACGGCGCCGATGACAGAGCCCGATACCATTTCCCAGAAGCTCAACCACATTAAGCAGCTCCTCCGGCGAAAGACGTCGGCGATCGCCGCGATGGACGCCGGGCTCTACCAGGAATCCATCCGGCACTTCACCAAGATCGTCGACGGCCGGCGTGGAGCCCCCCAGGGGTTCCTCGCGGAGTGCTACGCGCGAAGAGCCTCTGCCTTCCAATCCGCCGGAAAAATCGCTGACGCAATTTCCGATTGCAACCGGTCGCTGGCATTGGAGCCTTCTTCCGTTGAAGCTCTGAGAACCAGAGCTTCCCTGTTCGAGACAATCCGATGTTTGCCCGACAGTCTTCACGATCTGGAACACCTGAAACTGCTCTACAACACGATGCTACGTGATCGGACGTTGCCCGGACCGTTATGGAAACGCCAGAACGTTCAGTACAGGGAAATTCCGGGAAAGCTCTGTTCTTTGGCCGCGAAAATTCAGGAATTGAAAAAAAGGGTCGCTTCCGGTGAGACAAGAAACGTAGATTACTATGGATTGATGGGATTGAAGAGAGGATGTTCAAGAGCAGAATTGGAAAGAGCCCATTTGTTGCTTAATCTGAGACATAAACCCGATAAGGCGATGAGCTTCGTTGAGAGATGTGAGTTTCCAGATGAAAAAGACATTGAAGCAGCTAGAGACAGAGCAAAGATGTCTGCTTTATTACTTTATAAATGGCTTCAGAGGGCTCATGCAAGTTTACTGAAAACCGTCATTGAAGAAGAAGAATCAGAGAAACAGAACAGAGCTATAGCTGCCGCTGCTGCGGTGGTAATTCAAGAACCCAAAGTAGAAGAGACACCACCGCCGGCGCCGGTGTTTCACGGTGGGTTCTGCCGGGATCTCGCCATGGTTGGGAGTTTGTTATCTCAATCTGGGTTTAGTCATCCCATTCCCATGAATTATGAGGCAGTGAGTTGCTGAGAATCCCAGAGCTTAACAGTATTGAACTACCTGGGCGGAAATGCCCGAGGATAATTGATTATAATTATTGTTATAATTATAATTGTTGCTTCGTAAATGAAGGAGGGATTATGTACAAATTGATGCCTGAATGGATGAAAATAAGCAAATCTGTAGCTTGGCAGCAGGGATTTTCTTGATCTTTTTCTGCTTGAGAATGTAAATGTTCTGTTTGTTATTGGGTCAGATTACTAATTTTCTTGATTCTTCACCCTTTTTAATGTTTCCGATAAAAAGAAATTATGATTAAAATAAAGAAAATGAACAACAATATAATATGATTAACTAGTTATTTTAATATAAATGATAATGTTCACCTTTACACAACAATAATTATGAAAATATATTCATATTAACGGTAGCTTCGTCCATTAACTTGATGATTTATTGTCATATTTATAACTAAAAGGCTAAAAGGTCAAATAGGCCCCTGTTCCCGTCCAGAATGCTTAATTCGCACCATGAACTCTAAAAAGCTCCAATTCACCCCTTGAACTCGACAAAAAAGTTCAAATCTCACTTCTTACAAGTAAACGTCTGGTCACCGCCACGTCACCCAGTCAGATGCCAAACGTGCATCCCACGTGGCAATTTAAAGGGTCAAATAGGCCCCTGAACCCGACAAATTTGTTCAATTTGCCCCCTCAACCTTTAAAAAGTGTAAGAATTGAAAAAAAAACTAAAAAATAGCAAATCCATGTATATAATAAGATACAAGTCAAATGTATAAAATATAAACATCCTATTAAATAATATAATAAGGATTTGTTCATATTTGGGTAAATGCATAAAAATAAACCAAAATAATTTCATTAAAACTATTTTGATATTTTAAATCTACTTAAAAAAATAAGTAAACAATACATACATTTTTTTACAAATTAAAATTAAATATGTTTTTTGTGTATTATATGTAATTATCGGTAATATAAAACATTTTTTTTGTTTTCTATTTTACAATTTATATACTATATTTATATTTTTAGAGTTGTATTTTTCATTTGATATTTTTATAATATTTTTAATATGTTTTAAATTATATGTAAAATCACACACACACATGCATATATGTATATATACTTCGTATTATTTTATTCTAGAATTATATACTATAGTTCATACTAATTATATACACCATAAAAAAATATACTATATAAAAACTATTATGCGAAAATAGCTATTACATTTTTATACTACATATTATGTATTTAAAAATAATTTATTTTCATTATATTATATATATATTTAATTTACCACAAAATATAAATAACTTCTTATTATTTTATAAATAGACATCTATATTTTTATTATGAACTTGTATATTGTTTTATATTTTTATCTTCTATTTTTTAATTTCTTATTTTTTTAAAAAGCAATTTGACACTTTTTTAACGGTTGAGGGACTAAACTGAACAACTCTGTCGGGTTCAAGGGCCTATTTGACCCCTTAAATTGTCACATGGGATGCACGGTTGGCATCTGACTGGATGACATGGTGGTGACCGGACGTTTACCTGCAAAAAATGAGATTTGAACTTTTTCTTCAGGTTCAGGGAGTGAATTGGAGCTTTTTAGAGTTCAGGGTGCGAATTGAGCATTCCGGACAGGTACAAGGGCCTATTTGACCCTTTAGCCATAAGGTAGATTCTATCGTACCAATAAGGTACCATACTTTTGTCCACATGGACCAATGAAAATCTTGCAGTTGAATTGTTTAAATTTAAATTAAAAAAGATATCATGATGTGGATCGATCAATTGAATGGTAGGTATGATACCATATTTTTTAAATGGGTAACAGAGTTGTCACCCTAAAATAAATATGTTGAAAAATATGTGACTATTTTAGTATTTTTAGATAATGACCATAATGTTATACTGGCGTCATATTTGGAAAGTGGATAATATTTAAAAAAATCAGAAAAACCTCATAAAAGCGTATTATTAATTGTTGCAGAATTAAAAATTATGATTTCTTTACTACTTATAGTCAGGGCGGAGCTAGGACACTGGGCTGGACGGAGCCGATACAAAGAATTTTTCTGGAAAAAAATTTATACTTAAAGTTTAGACTTTTTTAAATTTTGGGTCGGACCAGTGCCAGGGTTGGCCCTCCCCTAGCTCCGCCCCTGCTTATAGTGATGCGGTTTTGTAATGTATAAGTGTTTTGCATATAAGGATGTTTTCTCTTGGATTGAAATTTACTGGTCTGGTCTGGTTTGGTCTGGTCTGATCTGATAAACGTTTGGTCTTTGTGTATTTTATAACTACGGAAGTGTGGTCTGGTCTTGTCTAGTTTGATCTGGTCTGGTCTGATCTGGTCTGGAATTGAAAACAATCCAAAAGAAATGAATACACTTTTTTTAAATTTAAAAAAAAAACATCACAATTGTATCACAAAAAGCGAGTACGTTTTTCATGACTATTTTTAGTTTTTATGATTAACTTTCATTTTAATCAAATTACATACTATCCAATTAGTAATAGGAGTGAATATTTCGCGGGAGGTTCTTTCTTTCATTTGTTTTTGGTGCATTTTAAAACGATTAATTTAATAATTTGTAGAATAAGTACCAGTTTGAAAGCAAACAGGATTCGGTTAACTTCGTTTTGCGCACTCTGCCTTTTTGAATCAATACATTATGGTTTTGTTGTGTTTAGCTGGATTCGATCGGGTCAATTGTCTTTGGAAAAACTTTATTAAAGTTAAACCGATTTGCACATAATTGGGCTTTGATGTGAGTTAGTTTGATTAACTCACAAGTGAAATCTACGCGCTAATCCTTTAACATGAAAAGGAGACAGCGTTAAAAAGTACGGCGTAATAGTTAAAGTAAACATAAGCAGAGGACTGATTTGGATAAAAAAAAGGATGACACCCCATCCCTGAGGGCCCCCCACCACCGACCGGACGGTACGATGGGAGGATGTAAATTGGACTATAATCACAATCTGACATATAGAGAGTGGGGCTCTGTCCCCGGTACTTGCAGAGGACCTATGCATTTTTCAGCATAGTAACCCCTCATCGTAGTTGCCGGGATTCGAACCCGAGACCTAACCCTTGTGGCACTCTCTTGCTACCAGTTGAGCTACGCCCACCGGTGACTGATTTGGATAAAGTTATACGGAGTAGGGAGTATGATAAATACAAAGGAAAAGAATTGAGATATAGAGTAAAAAAAGGGCGGGCATATCTGCAGAGGGGTGGGGTAAAGCACTATTGGCTTTGATGAAGAATGGGTGATTATGATGAAGATGATATGCAGAATGGAAAAGGATGTTGGGCATGTTCTGTGGCTTTCATGGTATCTCTACTAGATTCATAAGAGATGACAAGTTATTATTAAGCGTTCCAAATGTTGCATTATTTCTGTCAGGCTGTCAGCGTTATCAACACCCAGCCTTCCATTTTACTACGTTTTTAGGAACTTGGCTTGATTTTGAATTGGAAAATTCCTTATCTACAAATACAATTGCTATCTTTTTAGAAAAATGGTACTCCACCTTCTTTACCTGCCGGTTTACACGCTCAAATCTAATTATTTGTCCATACATAATTTGAATATCAGGTGTTTCTCTATTAAAGTGCATCGACAATTACACTTGAACATATAAACTAGCGTGTACAAATAGCATAATTGATCTTTTTTTCTATTTATTAATGAATAAGTAATTAAGTACAAACAATTCATCTAACAAATACAAAAAATAATTTTTTTTAAAAAAATTGCGTCTATTGTGTATACACATTTTACATGTACACAACTACACACAAAGAAAGTTTTAAAGTGCGGGGTAACCCATTTTCACTTGATGGGGTAAAATCTAAACGATAATAGTTCGTGTCATTTTTCAAATTTTCGTGAAAAAAATATAAAAAGCAAAGTGAGATTTTCATAATATTATTTGATTAAATCAAGAGATTTAACAAATAGAATTGGTCCAATTAAAGTTTCACTACTTTCACCACTTCCACTAATTTGAGTGTTCACTAAAGGAACTCTAATATTGGAATCGCAAATACCCATTTACATATAGAGGCCGCTTGTTTAGAGTTAAATACTATCTATGTTTTAGCATGTAGAAGTATAGACTTTTCAGTCTCATCTAACTTCCAGAAATTGGCTTCTAAGAGCAATTTGGAGCATATAAAAGCATGTACGTCCATACATGCACCAATACATATTGAAACAAATTGGAGTATAAGTACTTCTAAGGGGTATTTGGATCTGATTCAATTCTTCAAACTGTTTCTACTGTTTCAGATAGGAGAAGCAGAAGTTGGAATGTTTGTGTGAAAGTGCAAAAATACTGCTGACACTTTAATTTACTTTTACAAGCAGTGTTTTTAAAAGTTGGGATACATCTTCCGAAAATTGCTTTTGCTTCAAACACAACTATCAAAATGCGAAGTACAGATATTTGCATCTCACTGGACCGCACCTTAGAAGTTTGATCCAAATTATAGTTTTCATCTCTTTTTTCTTTCAATTTCAAGAGTGAACCTCAATTTTCGACACTTCAATAGTTCAATGGATCTTTCTCAGGGCAGTGCAAAATTTCATAGTACGGAGTATTAGAATTAGGAGACAATCACAAATTTTGATGGAATTGTTGGACTAACATTCTAATTACCTTTTTTGCTGGTACATTCTAATTACCTTTTCAAAAACCAGTTGTGCAAAAGTCTAGGTAAAATTTAAAACAAATGGAGAAATTAATAAAATTATACTCTCCATATATTATTATTCTAATTACCTTTTTTGCTGATACATTTTAAATTACCTAAAGAACTCTGTTGTCTTTTACCATTCTATCTAAAACTTCATTGGATGCCTCAATGTTGCTTCATTTTAATATTTCAGTCTGTTCTGAAGTGTTTGTCTCGTACGAACTACGAATGTACCATATACGAAGTATATCATTTATAGTTTATACGGTTTAGAATTTATATACGTAGTATACTTTATATATAAGCAAATGTGCAATCGTCCTTTCCATGAATTTGGGTGACCAAAGTGTGTATAGGACCGAAAAATACTCAATGGCAGAGACAATAATTAAAATTAATATGAGCATGACTGCTAAGAAATAAATGCAACTTAGATTGACAAGTTGTTGAAGTGTTTGTTTCACATGGAGTAGTAGAGTATAAAATCTCAGACTAATACGGAGTATTTTTCTGTCCAATTGGTACAATCGTACTTCCTTATTTGTGTCCCAAAAC